CACTGTCTCTGACACTCCCATCCCAATTATCCCAGTCACTAGTATAATAAAATTTTTTTTAAAAGGCTATCGTTTCCCCACTTAACTGATTTCATCTCCTTGTCAAAAATCAGTTGACCATAGATAGATGGGTTGATTTCCGGGTTCTCAATTCTATTCCACTGATCCAGGGAAGACCCTGGATGAGATGAATTGGTATAGTAACAAGAGATTATGGGGGCAGGTGTATCAGAGATGGTGAGACTGGGTCAAGATAAGACAGGATTCAGAGCACAGGGTCACTATGAGTCACAGGCAACAAACAACAACAATAGCGAGAATCCATGACACACACAAGTACCCTCTTCAACTGCTTTTATAATATTTGTGCAGCTCCTTTGCCACAATGAGATGATGACCAGACTTTGAACAGCTGCTCTATCTATTGCATTGTGAAAGAATCTGGACATAGCTAAGACGTAAGGTGCTGCCTCCCACATAACTACGACTTAAGGTGCTGTCTCCTATTTCTAATCTTATCCCACAGCATCTCTCTTGAAAGTCCTTTCCTGTTCTGTTCTCCCCCTCCATGCACACAGCACTTCCAAATCTGAAAATGACACCATCTATACCTTCAGTTCATTGATCTCGCATTAGGCTACAAGCTCCTCCCATTAGTTTAGGACTCCTCTCCATTGGACCCCACAGGAGACGTCAAAGCCAAAACAGAGAGAGCCAGACAGGAACAATAAGGAGAAAACACATGAGCTGATAAATAAACCTGAAAAAAAAATCCCAAAAGTTAGCACTCACCTGTCTGCAAGACGGCCATATATGAGGGATCCCAACAGGCCTCCAATCATGAAAATGAACTGAGCCACTGATTTCAAAAACTGAGATTCACATACCAAGTTCCACTGAAAGAGAATGAGGCAGCACATAAGAGCTGAGTAGCTTAACACCTCTCAGGGGTCCCTGATTCAAACCTCCTTCCATGATGGACCAGGTCTCTGCTATCGGATGCTGCTCACCACCACCACCCCCAAACCCCCAGTTCACCCTCTCACGTCTCTACTCACCATCTTACCCTCAACAAATATTGAGCTTCTTTCCGCCACTAGCCCCTCTCACTTCAAAAGCATCCAATAATCTATTCTTTTTAAATAAAATCTTTATTTTATACTGGTATGATGGATGGGGAAGAGATTGAGATTGTACACAGCTTTAGTTTGCTTGGCTCCA